TTGAGCATATAGTTCAAATTTGGCATTAAATTCCTAGGCTTAGTAAGCAGGCATGCTTGTGTGAATCCCACAAAACTAAGACTTAGTACGAGCTTGTAAATAAGGATAAATTCTCCAATACTAATACTAGTTATTGTACAAGAACTGTATTGTGAACCGGTTTTCAGCTTTCCACATCTCTTCCTGAAAAGTTTTCATTGACACTTCTTCTGAGAAAAATAATCTAACTCATGCTATAGATGAATGCAAAGGCAAGACGTATTAACAAAAGATACCTGGGATCCTAGTTCCTTTCACATACGGTTTTTTAACACAGATGAAACAACTGCAGATAGATACACCTATTTAACCAAGAAAAGAAACTGAATTACTGGATCGATCCAAACCTCATTTTCATTTTTACTCCAATAATTAACTAATAATTTAAAGAAAATATCTGACACACAGCATATTCTTTAGGATCATCTTTTATATCACATCACTATAATCTAGCACTTTCCCCCTCGTCACTTAAAAGCACTAATAGCCTACCCTTGACCAAAAACCCTCCAGGTTTTGCCTCACATTAGGACTATCTATGTGAGTCCTTAACTCTGAAAAAAGTGAAAAAATAAGGTAACAGGGTCCTAGCAACAGTTAAGATGTAAGTAGTGCTTTTTGCCGAGTCTGAATGCCCTTTACAAAGTCCTACTTGAATTTTTTCTAGTTCAGTTTTATAAATGGGAATAAATAAATAAATATAGAAACAAATTATTTTCCAAAGGTCATGCAGAAAGAAAGAATGGATTAGCCCATGGTTTAAGCATCAGATTAGATCTTAAAACATGGTGGTTCTGCCACTAAGCCTCTTGTGCGACCTTGCACAAGTCAATATAATTTTATTTTTCCTACAGAAAGGATTAAAAAACCCAATACCATCGTGTAAGATGGAGGGGGGGAGAACTGCAACCATATGACAGAGAAGCAGAAGTGCCAAGAATAAAATTCGTGCTTTTGACTCACACCCATCTATTTTATGGAGAAGACTCCCTTCTTGGATAAACATAAGCATGTAGTTCAAAACATAGGATGCCTTCAGAAACACTAGCACACTGGGATGGCATATTGGGAGAGAAGCCTATTAAACAAAACAAGCAATAGTTTATGAAAGAGGAATTTATACAGCCTTGCACTTTTCTAAACAGTTTTCTTACATTCTTATAGTCATTAAAATGTATAAAAATTATTATTTCCAAAACAGCATTACCATGAATTATCACTACCCTTGTTGCCTAGCAACCAGAGTAATTTTTGAATAGTGAGCTATACAAACCAGTATCTGCAGTTTGTGTAAATGAGTATACATTTGAGGGTTTAAACATGTTCATCTTGGAAATCAGAGGCAGATAATGCAGCACTAATGTAAAGCTGAAATGCTCTTAAAAAAATAAAATGGCATTAACAATTACTGCCACTTGTCAAAACCCTCGTCCTGTAATAGATCCTCTGAGCCCTGTCAAACTTGATCAGGGCAGGAGTTGACTGCCTTGCTCTTCCTTGGGCTTGCAAGTGACCCTTTCCAATTTTTATGAAGATATTTGACATTCCTGTGGAGAAAACAATTCTTGCACAGTCTTTTGAGGGATTTGCTTGTAAATCAAGAGCAAAAGAAACTGGTGATGTTAAATAGCAATGTATTTAAGTCAAATTAAGAGTTCTATTTTTATACAAGACACTGAGCTGGAAGAACTCACTGGTTCATACCATGACTGAATGACGTGCTTAGTAAGGTTCAAAATAGGTATAAACATTAATAGTGACAAAGAGATAACCCACTGAGATACTAGAGAAAGATTATAAGTATATATGAAAGATACAAACTCACAGAAATCACAGCCTGGTCGCTCATTAGTTGCATGTGGTTGTATGGGATTCTTCCCCACTTTTCAGATGCACATGGAATTTACTTTGAATGCAGGACAAGATCTCAAATGATATCAACCTGTATTGCTTGATGTTTGAGAATTTCTTCATTACTGTCTTACAACTTTAGTAGACAAGTTCCTGCTAAATAAAGCTGGTGTCAATCTTTGTTACTGTTCCCAAAATGGGGGTGGGCTCTGTGTGTGTGTGAGTGCGCTTGTGTTCCCAAGGGAGAAAGATGCCAATTTAATGGCTTCCAAGGCTTAGCCTTGTGGGTAAGAAAATAAAATGCAAAATATGCTCAACAGCAGCATGTGTTCCTCATACAGACTGCAGTCAGAAAGGCAAATTCAGCCCTGGCATCCCTCAGAAGGCAATGTAGTAGCATCTGCTTATACCAGCTATGAATCTGAACAAGC